CGAGAGATCATCATTTGTCAAACGCAATAATTTTTTACAGGTAAACAGTTTTACACAGATGACAGACACTGACAGACAGACCGCTCTCACCCTTTCCCTGTCCTTATAGGCCAGGATGGATTTCCCTGGATTATTCTCAGCACACTTGAGCTGCACCAGGATGAATGAGGTTCTCACTGGCAGTTGGCGTCGGGGCGTCCCTGCTCTTGGGTGGGTTGTTGGGTCCTTAGGCCGGCTGATGGTGATTCCGAGCCCACACCAGGGCTATGTGGCTTGTTTGCTTTTATCCTTCCTGGGCTTCGTTCGTTATCCAATCAAACGGGGCCGGACCATGGGTACAAGCAGGCCCTGTGCCTCAGCCAGTAGCAGTATGGTCAACAGTAGGGTCAACAGGGTGGTCAACCCATAGCACTATTCACGGTCAACAAATAACCCAGTGCCAAGCTGCACAGCATCTGGATGCTTACGGTGTGAGCCTGTGGTGTCACTTCTATTTTACTGACGAGGTTGGCTCAGCATTCGTGGGGCCATTGGGAGGCTACAGCACCCCACAGTGTTGTGACTCTGGCCCAGGATTCCTAAATGCTTGAGGAGCAACCTAGAGCAAACTCCTCCTCCAAGGGCTGCGTCCCGCGTCCCACACTTGTCTGTGTGGTGCATACCAGAAGCTGAACGCATCTTTTAGACCACTAGATTTCCTCATGACTAAGTTGACATTTACTAACACTAACACTAGTGACTAACACTTGTCTAAGTTTTTTTAGCATTTTAGCAGATTTATAAATCATTTCCCTCAACACTCAGACTTCTTTTGACTTAAGATTACCTTAAATTATTTAAAACAATTGAGTGTTTCTACCTTGCTAAAGTATTACAGTTGCTGGCATCAAAGAAATGCTAATGCTGTCCAAAGAGAAAACAAAATCGTTTCTGAAAGGAGACGAGATTAAGAAGTATGTGTCTAGGGGAGAGCTGGTCCATGCTTACGCACACAGACATGTATGAGTATGTCTATGCGTAGATGAAAAATAAAAAATCACAGGTAGAAATTTACTTTCACAGCCTCTATAGGAGGCTCATGAGATACACCTGGCAAGATTTTCCTCATTTCAATTGGCTTTAGCTCAGTCAAAAAAAAAAAAAAATCATTATGGATTGGTTGCATATTCTCAGTCATAACAGGGGAAGTCTGCATTTCTATTGCCAATGCAGCACCTCTTGTGCAGGTAAAAATCTTCAATTTTAAGTGCCAGCTCGTAAAATACTTTTAGTAGTCCAAGATCTCAGGTGATTGTATTAATGGACATCTTTTCCTCACTAGTATAGTGTGCTTTTTACAACTGGCTGCAGAACATACAAAAGAGAGGCCGAATGAATCACAGTGTGGCTAGGGAAAGCCTGGGGAAAATACTGGGAGGAAGCAACCTCTCCCAGACATAACCAAGTAGTTCTTTGCATGATTGCATTTGCAAAAACAAGTTCCTGATGACGATGGCTGATTTACATAGAAGTATTTGACTATTTCCATCACTAACATTATGTATAAACACTGTTCCTTCAGGCTAAGCTTTTGAAAAAAAAGGTAATCAGTACTGGAACAGAAATCTGTAGAACTATTGGCACAAGTGAAGCTGGCTGATCTTTTCAGCTTGAGCTACAGGTAGAATTGCCTTCTTCACTAGCATGATCTACTAGGCCCAAAAAACAAGGACAAAGAAGCACTTGTCTATAAATACAATTTTGATAAGCCTGATTAGAAATGAAGGTAGCAATAAAAATGGTGTTCATTAACTGTTCCCCTATCCCAGTATCCTCATGCCTTTCCCTGGTATACGTCACTGCACCTGTCCCTGAGAGCCAAATTCTGGCTATTTCCCCATTAAGTGAAAATTGCTGATAGGCCTATTCCAAAGCCAAAAGCTTTTCTCTCAGCTTTTTACAAAACTCAGTAACCTTTAGTACTTCTTTGCTTTGTTTCAGCCAGTTTTTACAGATAACATAAGCCTAAATGTCCTCTATAATCTCCTCATGAAAATGTCTGCCTTTTAAAGGAAAACTTTTTACAATTCAATTAAAACATGTTCTGAGAGTTAAAAATATACTGACAGCATATTCCCCAATTGTTATAGAATCTACATGTTACTGGAAATTTCAGAAGATCTTAACCCATGATATAATTAATATATATATATTAATATATCATTAATAAAGACAAAACTGTACTGGGCAAGACAGTCACCTTCAATACAATTAAAATGAAATATTCTGGTATAAAAAAACAGGCCATACCTATTCCTGTTGCCACTGAAAGACTGATGGATTAATAAAAAGATTTCTAAGCAGTTGTAAGAAATCAGATATTTAAGAACTTCGTTCTTCAGTTAACTTACTATTCATTTAGTGAATGATCATATGTTTAAGAACACAATATTTTTCAATTATTCAAAGATTGAAATAAATATATATATATATAAATGTTTCATTAAAGTAGGATTTACATTCTATGGGAAGATCTTTAAGTAGAGTGTCTCTGCATATATATACACATATCAGAGCTGTGAGTAAAAATGAAAACATTTTGGAACTAAGAGGGAGAAGGAATATTATTCTTTCATACACAATCCTCCATTAGTAATCATAATATTGCTTTCTTCTGAAGCATTGGAGTAAAAAAAATGGATGTTAATAAAAAAACAAGGTATGTTAATAATATTAACTTGATATTCACTAGAATAAGCTAACGGAAGACAGTCTTTGCTTTGACACAGTTTGTTAAGTCTTTATACACCTTCCTTGTGTTAGAGCATACCGCCCCTTCCACTTTTCTGATTATATGCAATCAAAAAATATGCTATATACCCACGCCCAATTGCTACACCAACACAAAGTGACACTGAAAGGGTTTATATCTATGTAGTGAGACAGGATGTTTTCAAAAATAGTACAACCTTTTTCTTCATATTCTCATAATAGCATTTGTTTGCAGAGGATACATTTGTACCACGTGAGCTCCAAATCCAGGGAAGAAAACTGGTTCTTCAGGCAAGCGGCACAGGGACCGTGCAGCTCTCCCTCTCCCAGCAGTGCAAACACAACTGGCCTAAAACATTGCTCTCTGAATTCAAGCATGCCTATTCACAGCAGTTCAGAAGCAGGGACAGTTAATTCTGTATGAAGGTAACCACTACATTTTTTTTTTTTGCATGCAGAAACAGAACAAAAAGCACTGCACACAGCACAGGCCACATAAATGCTTGTTTGCACTTTGCACGTATAGAAAACTCCATGGTAGAAAAAAATCAGGACAGTAAATTCTGAAAACAGTGAAACAATAACAAATCAGAGCTTTCTTTCACAAGATGAGGTATTGTTTCAGGGTTTAATTTTGACCTCAGATTTGCAGAGACAGGGGAAGTGCCCTGGGTGTGTGTTTGTGTGTGCATTCACATGTTTGTTTGGCTTTTGCTTTCTTACCTTAATACAAGAAGCACCTGCCGTGTGTTTGCATGAATAAAGCTACTTAGCTTAATTTAGCCTAATTTAACTTTTAGAGTCAGTGATCTTCCCACCTATTGCAGCTGTGCAGAAAACAGACTTGTCCATCTGGAAGCATCTAACCTGAAACTGCAACATTATAGTTTTCACTGTGCCCCAGTTCAGGTTATATGCTTCAATATGAATATTTAACAAGAAGCAAGCAAAGCCACCACTGCTCAGACTCCCATGCACGAGGAATAGGTTGCTATTATTACATAAACCAACTATTGAAAATGAGGAGAGTGATTTTTAGTTAGTTATGGAGGTGAGAAAAATGTATGGATGAGCAGGAAACTAGGATAGTGAAAATGTTCTCTAAAATATACAGCACTCCAATACTTTACCAGGCTGCCTGGAGGGCAGCTGCTCTTTTGAGAGAGGAGGAATGTGTAACTGAGCACATGCAGCTTGTCCTCCAAGCAGTGCAGGCTGTTCAGAGCAGGCTCTCGTTTTTTACTGTTGTGACTTGGCACCATCATGTGGCCACTTTGAGTTTACTCAATTAAAGTAAAAACTTGCTTAGAAACCGCTGCAATAAATTAAGTAGAACTTACTTAACTTACAAATATTTTGTAAGTTCTATTTAACAAGGAGAATGTGCACAGCTTCAATACTTATGCACTGAATTCTAAACAGAGTGTCTTCCAGTTGTCCTTATTTTATGAGTCCACGCACTATTTAATCACAGCTTTCTTCATTATCTTTAAAATAAGAAATTGTTTTAGACTGGAAAAATACAAGACATATTCTACACATGGACTGGTCTCAAAAGCTTACCAATAGAGTACAGAAATCAGAATAATAAAGGCAACTATCCTCTTCATTTCCACTATCCTTGTAGTGAAGATTTTCAGTAATAAATAGGTCAGTATTTTGTTTTTACACCAGAAAACCTCATCAAGAAGACTTAGATGTTCAGTAAATGTTTCTTGCATGTTTACACTGTTTGAGCCATACAGCCTGCATACCAGGAGAACTCAAGGTACTTAAGTACTCCTTTTGCAAAGCTCCAGGGTCCAAGTCAGAGGTTACCATGTATGGAAATTTGTACTTCGACATATCTACATATTGCTATATGAAGATATAATAAAGCTTTCCTCAAGCATTAGTGTGCTACAGGCCCAAAGAACACTCAGGTTGCTTATACAGAAGCACAAGTTTATGCTGACCAGGCAAATGACTGTTGTCATTTACTTCAGAGTGCAATAATGAGAAACAGCATTGACATTTATTGGAATGCATTTTCAGTGTTTTTTCTTAAATATAAACATCTAGAACCCTTTCAATAATGAAATACAGTTCAGCGTATTTGAGCACAGTATTGCTAAATAAGGTTCTGTCATTTTAATAATCAAAAATAAATCTTCTCAGCTGAAATACTGTATCAATATTTCTAAAATATATGCAAGCTATATACAAATACAAAACTATATTACAAAACTTTTAATTACAGTCAGAATCATCTAAATATTTTGCATTAGTCTGTATGCTCAGACAAGCGTTCTGTTTCTAAAAGGACTGCAATAGCAGCAGATGTAGCTTTTCAGATTCCCCAGGCTGAGGTAATGCCCACTTCTTCTTTACATATTGAATGTCTATCAGTCCAGACTCTTTGGCCAGTGCAATTCCTAGCAGACCAGTTGTTTTTTCTGGTTCTCCCAGTACAGCCATAGTCACAACACTGAAATCAAAAGAGGGTTGTTTTTTAATCAAGGTAAAATGAATAGAAATTTTTTGTTGTTTTTCTTTCCCTTCAAACATTTAACAGATCACTTATAATTAACTGACTCCTTTCTTCTACTTATTGCCATATTGTAAACTTCATCCCTATTTCAAGTTCTAGCATGTTAGTTAGCTTTTCAGAAGATGACCAGTTGCAACTACTTAATGCAAGTACACTTAGACAGAAAATTCTTCCACTGTTTCACAGCTTCCATAACCATCACTGCTTGCATCATTACTTTACAATTGTTTCAAGCTTGTGAAGGTGAACTGGTATCGTGAGACCACCCCGACACTAGTCTTGGTGAACACAAATAATCAAAAACATCCTTGTTTTATTTGTGACAATAAACACAATATACTGCTTTACATTGGTAAATATATTATATATAACCATTGAAAAATAATCTCCAAGTGTTCCGATCTTGACTGTTTTAAAGATTGAGCCTGGCTCAGCAAAGCTACTTTTTAACTTGAAGAGTCCACTGACTTTAGTGGGAACAAAGCTATTTTCTGTATTTACAGCTGCTGTCCCACTATAACACTGTATCTGATTTTAATAACACTATATTGGACTATATCATGTAAAGTAATAGGTAAAAACTGTAAAAAATATTCAACTTGCTATAAGGTCTCTTTCCACAGCTGAAGCAGTTTAAAAAACAAACAAAACACAACACAAAAAACACATATACTTAGAAAAGCAATTCCTATGGAAGTTTGAAATTGAGCAAAACCCCACAAACCCTGCTCAAAAGACAGATAATATCAAAATTTTATTGAAGAAAAAATAAAAAGTCTAGTGTACTTACTTATCTGATGGAATAGCCTGCTTCGCCACAGGCAACAAATCATTTTCCAGAAGGTCCCAAATATAAATATTAGATGAAGCATCCAGGACAAAGAACACAGCAGGTCTGGTTAAAGCCCACTGCAGGGCAATAACTGGCTGCCCATTTGTGCTGTCATTCCACTGCATGAGGGGATACTCTGATGTCATTTGGTGCAATCTGATACTTCCATCAGAACAGCCAACCTGGAGATACCACAATCAAAAATAAAATATTGCCTGGGAAAGAAACAAACCAAGCAGGACAAAGAAGACAAACCTATTCTTGCAAACACCAGGCATACAAATAAAACAAATTGCATGATTCAAGTGACATATGTCTGTATTTCAGTCTATCCAGTTCTGATTTAAATGTGCTTGGCCAAACCTGAACACACCTGAGCACGCACAGGATGGATACGCTGCTGACCAGGCAGACTCTGTCAGGTCGTTTCAGTAAATTTCAGTAATTTCAGTAAAAACAAAGAATAAGTTATAAAAGTACTGGCTAAAGCAAGGTGGCCATGCATTTCTAGGAGCCAAAGGCACCTTCTTTCCAAGCAAAGTTCAGATACCAGGACACAATATTTGTTTGTCAACCTGCCTGACAGATCTGAATTAGTAAAATAAACCACTTATCACATGCAGCTAAATATTTTACATTGCAAATCTTTTCTCAGTAAGTAATTAATTTAATGAGAAGTTTAATTTAAAGCTTTTTTAAAATGCTTTCATACCAGAAAGAGTGGCTTTCCAAAAGGGGAGAAATCTATTGCATTGACGCTTACTGATCTTAGCCCACTCTGTTGGGGTCTGAAGAGCTTTGGAGGAACTTTTAAATTGTGTCTTGTACCATGGCCTACCAGGCCCTGTGAATAATATGAAGAAAGCAACAAAAGAAACCATTATGCACTATTACAGTAAAAAAGTCAAACAATTTGCACAGCTGCTGCCTTGAAAAATTCCTTAATAGCAAACAAATTAAATTTTAATAACAGCCTCAAGTTACAAATTTTATATACAGTGTACTGCTAAAAATTCAAGTAAATGTGACAGCCTTCAAAACCAGAAAATAAACCGTGAAATTAATTTCAAATATTACTCACGATGTTTGTTCCAACAATGAAATGATTAGGATTAGAAGAAAGAAACTTAATTGACAGTGTTTGTGGCATTCTCTGGCATATATCCTTTGGGAAAACGCTGGGAAAAACAGAAAAATACATAAGTAGAAGATGATCTAAATATATAGGAACTTGCCTCCTGAAGTTGTATATTACAGAAGCTCTTGTTCAAAAATGTCTATGAACATCTCTAGAAAAAAACATGCATTAAAACATTAGAAACTTTTTAATATAATGTTATATCTCCCATAACAGTAGCTTAACAAGACACAGAAAAAATAGCTTTGAGAGATACACATGTAAAAGCTAAAAGCCATGATTTTCTTACCTCTTATTCAATTCTGTAGTAGAACTATGCACTAACTTCACTTTCCCTCCAGGAATTAAACCTAAAATTACAAAAAATATTTTTAAATAAAAAAAGATCTAACTACAGCTGATTTAAACACTTTGTAGTACCAAAAAAACCCCCAAGAACCCATAAAGCTAATCATAAACTATCTACATATAGACAGATAGGTTTATGACAGTTCATAAACTAAGAAAAAAAATGAAACTTTATGTTTAGATTGTTTCTTAAAGATAATAGTTTATATGTAAAGATCTTGCATAGTTTAGAATAATTTACTTCAAAAATCAAATCTAAAAACATGTGATCTTGTGACAGTCATCAAAGAAAAAAGATAAGATTCTGTTTAAAAGTAAAGCCTACAGAATATGAACTCAATTATCTATTTATACATATATAAAAATATAAATATGTATTTTTTAATTTTATTTTATATTTTAAAAGTGTGTTAAGTAAATAATAACATAAGTAATTCCAATCCTTAAAACCTTAGAAGCAAAGATGAATGCTGGCAACAGTACAATTGTATCCAACATATTGTTTTGAAATGTACCTCTGCACAGAAATAAATACCCAGTTGTAGCAGCTTTATATAGCCACACAATGCATACGATTTTATAAGTGACAAAATTGACCAAAACTTTTACTATTCAACACAAAACATCACTTCAGTGTTTGTATATGTATTTTAAAACACATGAGCATTTTCATTACTGCCTTTCTCTTTTAATAAAATATGTCGTCTAAATTTGTTCAAAGAACATGAAATATATATATATTTTTTAATTCAGATAACTTAAAATGAATGGACTTTGCTTAGGCTTTTATGGAATCTTTCATCTCACAGCAAATTAAATAACTTCCCCAAAAGAGACCTGACACAATAATTATCGAAATGGAGATGAAAGTGTTATAAAATCTTTGCTTAAAGTTAAAGAAAGAACAGAAGGACTCAAGAACTTAAGAACCTCATAATCCTTGAAAAAGTTGTCTGCAGTACAGAAAGTTGCTTTAACATTCTAAGAAATGTGACTGCCTGTGGCGGCAACTGCCAATATGGGATTAGCAGGTGAAATTCAGAAACTAGTGAAGACTTGACACATGATGCCTGACCTATAATGCAAAACGTGTCCTATTCAGAAATAGTCTTTATGTCAATAATTATGCCTTTATCTGAACTACTTGTCATTGACGACCCTTCTTTCTGAGTAACTTCATGATCACAGAACTCGTGCACGTAATTCTATCTCATGTTCAATACTTACCTAAATCGGTCTGTGAACCAGCTAAATCAACTTTTTGCAATTCAACAACAACCTGAAAAGTCAATATTCAACATTAATACACAACAAATACTTACCAATTTTTTCCTTTTTTTTTTTTGGTTTACCAAATATTTACCAAAAACAAATATTTTAAGAACATATGAAATAACTCTGAATAAATGTTTAGATAGATAAGTCTAACATTCCAATGATTACAGGTATATTCTCCATCCTTTTCAACCACATGCAATGCTAACATAGTTTCAAATATCTGTGGATATTCTCTGCTGTGTTGTAAGGCAGAAAATGAGAAATTGCCTCCTATGCTTAATCAGTAGCAGACATCAGTTGAAGAAAAAAAGAAATCCTGTGCTTTTCACTGCGCTTTCAAGAACTGGGAGGGACAGGTCACTGGGCCTGAATCAGTTGCTACTGAAGTTACTTAGAGTTTTCAGGAACTATCTCAAACAAGATCAACTTAGACAGACACAACTGGATCACTATATGAGACAAAGCTGTATGAGAGAAAGACTGAAAACCTCTGGTACAAAGAAAACATTTCAGTGAAACCAAAAGATCAACAGACCTGGAGCTTACTTACTCAGTATGTTTTAGAAAGAGTAATTTTATCCATAGATTTCTACATTTCACCTCTTGAACATTTATTTGATATTAATTATAAATGAGACTTCCCACACACATTCAGCACAGTCTCTGATACGACTGTGATTCAAATAAAATAGAGTAGGTAGAAGAAAAGGATCTAGATTCATTATCCAATTACTAGACACATGTGAACATACCCCTATGAAGCAGAACTGCTGATCCTGCTGATCCCATGTCTATGTGAATTCATGCACCTGTTTAACAATTTAACGTCTTGGCATTAGGGAGAGAGGTTAAGGATTTTGACCAGAATTCCAGTAGTGTTGCTGTACTTTTCAGGAAGGCAATTCTCATCCCCCTCAAAAAAAAGAAGTGTGTTGCTATATTCGAAAAAGTGTATTATCGTTACAACACATGATGCTCTCTCCTTTTTCACATATATATATATATATATATATATATATATATAAATAAAACTCACCCACATATTGAGGATTCCATTTTCATCCATTGAAGCTATCTGGCATGGACAGCCTGACATTTCTGCAGGAAGAAGGTAGCAATTTATATTTATACACTACCTTCATCTTAAAAGATATTCCTTTAAATCCTCAAACCATTTTAAACCTTTTCCAGACTAATACATTCTGTGAAGCTTTTGTGTTCCCCTCAGTAGCAAAAAAAAAAAAAAAAAAAAGGACTAACTCTGCCCATGAAGAAAAAGGCATGAAACTAATATATTCTGCTTGCCTTACCAAAGCATCTCTTTCTGCGTCTTTTAAAATATTTGGATTCTGCATGCAATTGGGAACAGTATAGTGCAACTAGATTAAAACTTGTAAAATCTGCATTGTGCAGCACAATTCCTCGGCCTGTTAGGGATTTTAAGGTGAAAATCTGAAAATAGGATTAATATACCATGCTACCTGAGAATTTTGAGGAATGAGGATTAAAGTTGCTTTGCAAAAGTTGGTCATAAAAAAATGTAACAACTAGTGCAGGAACAACTGCAAAGTACAGTCATGTATTATTTGTGTTACCAGTCCACTGAGAGCTTTCGGGGGGATATTGTAGAAGCACTGAGACCATCTCAAAATAAGTTATAACCCCAAAACTTCTTTTAACCACAGACTAAAAAGAAGTGGTGTTAAAAAATTACAAAAAGCACATACCCACATCTGGGGCAAAACCACACTGAATGAACATGACAATAATGAAACCAGAAAAATCAACATGGATGTTGCATTTAATCATTTGTATTTTCTACAGAGAATGTAAAAAGGCAGAAGGTAATTATGAATTGGAATATGGCTAGGATATATCCTTTACTAGATGTCTAAAGAATGAATCAGATTTACTGATCATTTAAAGAACAGTTTACGTACCCTCCTGATAAGAAAGGCTTGAGAGCCTGTAATTCTGCTCAGCGTAGAGAGAGGTTGAGACAGGTTCCACTGCTAGTATAGGAGAGGAGTGGTTTACTGAGTTTAGAACTCCATCTGCAATTAACGATAATTAAAGATAAGCGCTGTATTATTTTCAACAACAAAACCCTAATCATTTTTAGGTATAAACCTAAAGTACGATGGAAACCTAGAAGTACGATGATTACAAAGAAAGAATGACAAATAATGAACATCATGAAGATGCATTTTGTAAAAGTCTCAAATACAATAGTGCAAAATGTTTCCTAAATGAACAACAACAAAAAACGTTAGGTAGATCAATGTTTCACCGTTTGTTTTTGCCTTGGTAATAGGCAAAAAGACACATTGACTTCCATCAGATTCATAAAACTGATGATACACTAACCCAACTGATACACCAAGCTTGATACACCAAGCCAACTGCAGAATCAAATAGTTTGTATTAATCTGTCTTTTAGATGAACTTCAGTAACTTCTGAAATTTGTCACCCACAGATTACAGAAGTTTACAAAAGTCTACATTATTTTGATCGTATACTACGTCATCAGAAGTATAGAAAAGAAGAAGAAACGATGTCAATAAAATGTAAAAAGGTGAAAAGTAGTTCAACTAAAAAGCACTTTTGAAAAGTAAATTTTCTCTCAATATTTATGCAAAACTAATATAGTCCATCTCTAAACTAGGAAGTACTATGGAGCGACTACCACACTTTTTGCTGTTCTACTTCTTGTCCCATTAGGAACCTGGAAGGAACATTCTGTGACTCCCAAATGGTCCTAATGCCAGAGGTCTTGCTCCTGTGGCAAGCTAGATGAAAGCACATATCCGGATCTTGCTTCCAACATGAGAGACATTTCTAGAGATACCGAACCAAGCAGCTCGTGGGCCCCGAAGCTCAGACACAGCTTCAAAATTCCTTCAACAAAAGACTACAAGTAAATCGATGGAAGTCAGAATTTCACTTACTGTACTATTTGAACCACCTGATACTTGGATTTCATATTCCACCTTAATTGTCACACTACACACTACTACTAACTTATCTGCTACTTGCTTCTGGGTTCTGGAATCCCCAGAAGTATTCATATACTCTGTACTGACAATATCATAAAAAGATACTCAGAAATATGCAAGAAATTCCTAAGATTTTACACCGCTACAATAAAAATTGATGTATTAATGAGCAATAAATGAACACAATTTTAGATATCTGGATAGAATCCATAAGTGATAAAGTTACATAGGCTGGATTTTCAGAAGTGGGTAAGGATGACATTCAAGATGAAGATTAGCACAAGCAGATGCCTCTGCATGAGCTAGTTTTCCCTGATCTTTACAGTGAACTAAACCTAATCAATACAATCAGTTCAAGTGATCATCTACAGATATCTACATTAGGGAGTTGAACAGGTCCCCAGTTCTCACAGAGCTGCATTCCACTGACTCTAACAGAGCTTATATAGGTACGTGCTTAGATATGTATCTCAAATACATGCACAACCCTAGGTTTAGGGGGCACAATTTGCAAACTGAATCCATCCTCTAAATGGCTGTGAGTTTTATGGTCTTAAATTCTCTCTGTCTTTTGAAATTCCTCCATCTTAATAACTGGGTTAGATGTAGATCAAAAAGAAATGCAAATTATATTAAGACAGGTAACATGACTGAAATTGATTACACTAATGACTGCAGATGAGGTTATGGCTGAATTTTTATTATTAAAATGCTCCTTACAGTCTGCATCTGATCTATTCTCACTGCATCTCCATTCTCACTGCTTGGTGTATATTTTACATTGACCCGTATTCCTTTGTGGTCATTACTGATAGGCAACTTCTACTAGAATAAATATAATTTCTGATGAGGCTAAACTAGACTGTTGAGAAACAAATCTCTTAACAGAATATGTAGTGGACAATTGTATTGCCTATGAGACAACAAATTAAAATGTGCAGGTACTGACCAGTGGAAAATGTTGGAAGTCTAAATGTCCATTCAGTTCCACTGAACGTCATGTGTGGGTGCATTCGTGAGTCTTCTCGAAGATCCCACATCAGCAACGAACCATCTGCTGTTCCAGCAAACACTAGGGTTGTTTTACTGGGACTAAGGCAACAACTTAGCACCTGTTAAGCCAGGAAAAATTGACACCATTAAAATTAAGAAATAAAATGGTAACTTGAAATATGTTAATTCTTCCTTGTGATACAAAATCAGAAAAACTTGATTACAGAATTTGGCTACAGAAGGACAACTTATGTAAAATGGAGGTAGGGCAGAAAATTTCCAGTAGATACCCCCTCTCTTTCTGAAAGAATTGCTGTGTTGATTATAACTACTGCTGCAAAGCCGAAAGGGGTAACTCAACACCATTTGCTGCAAGACAGAAAAACAAAATATACATAATAAAGTCATTTATTCAATAGGCAATAACACAATGTTATTAAACCATACCTCCGAGTCACATATTAAAACTTTCTGAGGACTGGACGGCTGCCAGACATTCCAGACACATATGATGCTCTTTCTGTCCAGTAAGGCAACACCTGCCCCCTCAGGTAATCCATGAGCAGAAAGTAGCATCTGCCTCTGAACTTGAGACACGTACAGACAGGATATTTTTCGGTCTAAATCACACATAATAAAGGAAAAAAAAAAAAGGAAAAAATGAAGAAAAAAGGAAAGTTCACTATAGTTGAAAAAGACTAATAAGCTGCTACAGCAAGAATAAAAGAAGCTAACAGGTAACTATGAAGAAATTATCTATTAACAGTGGATTGCTTTTGATGCTATATCGGAAAAGAGGAGGGACTGGACAAGGAGTACAAAAAAATGAAAGGATGTAGGAAGCAAAAAGGAACAAAGTCAGAAAGTTAACAGGGATCTGGGCATAAGCAAGCCAATCAAAGAGTTTAATCTGATATAAACATATTACTAAAAATAAGTTAAGTCTCAAACAGGAAACAGAGCACAGGCCAGGCTACAGAATCAACGTACACATTCTTCTGCTTCATCATACGTGTCCAAGCTAGAAAAATCATTTTTATCATGTTGTGATAGGTCTTCTTACCTATCAGAGACATTTTAATTTTGCTTTTCTTTTCATTTGAACTTTTACTGTTTCTAAGGGGAAGATACAGTTCAAATATATCAGGCTCTCTCTCCTAGTGCAGTAAACTGGCTTTATTTGTACATTGGGGCCTACTGCCAGCAAAAGGAGCCTAAATGAAATGTTACCCCTTGGGATGGGCCTTCATCAACAGATCAAGAAAACAGGCCCAGGACATTCCTGTAGCATGGCGATCACTCCAATGCAACGATGCTCTGCTCTACCCTGTGTGAAACCTATCTGCACAGAGCCACAGCAAGACTAGAGGAATAAAAAGAAGTAAGCTTTACATTACCTTCGAATCCTGAAATGTCTGCTTGCAATTCAGCCACAATAAAGAGCCTGGCACTTTGCATAAGGAAGAAGAATTCACACTGTATGCTAAAAGGTGTATAATAAAGTCCCCTTACCATGGAGGAACGGCTGGTTAGTATTTAACTGGAAACAGCTGTCACTAATAGACAGACTGGTTTGTCGAGATCTTAGTTTCCACCTGGGTTGTGTTGCAACTCGATCCTCCTCTAGCAAAACAGCGATCACCTTTCAAACATAATTATATTTACAAAAATAAAAGGGTCATTTTATCTTTCAGTTTTGCTACTTGTAGCTTGCAAAAACACATGGCTGAATTCAATAAAATTTTATCAACTCTCTTGCTAATTTTATATCTTTGCAAGCAGGGCTTAACACTGCTGTAAAATTTGCACAGCTTCAATTCCATTCTTTTGCAGAGATGAATCTCACTGATAATGCGTATTATTTAAGTCATTTATTTAAATTAGTCAGAACAAGTACTGGAAATGATCTACCACTCTGTATACTTAGGTATACAACTCCCATAGGATATTAAGTACAAAAGTGTACCTGGCAGGCAGACCGGAGAAAATTTGCTAGTCTTTGTGAATCAATTTTAGGTGTTTGAGTACTATTCACCAACATCTCCTGGCTGTTTATAGGACCTAGGAAAAACAAAAAACAAAACCAAATTTGAGGCTTCAAAAAGGAATCAAGTTAATGCAGATATACGTTGCAGCTAATAAGGCTGCAAGAACAATGTAATTTTTAAGTACAATTAACTTTCCTTCAGCAGTAATAATGATACTTCAAAACAAGATCTGTGGGGAATCCTATCTCCCGCCAAGAGAAACAGCAGAGCACAGAACTCTTTCCTTGCCCATCCATCAGGGGATGGGATCAAATCAGAGGATTCAGAGTGTCTCCAGTAGGTTGTGACTGGCACAACTTGTCCTATTTCAAATCTTGACAATAAGAGGGTTCAAAAGAGAAAGTCTATGTGCAGACATGACTATGATTAAATTGTTCTTCACCTCCAGACACAATGGCACTTTCCCCTGGATGCTGTGTCCATTTCTCCAGTGTCTCAACTTCCTCAGTCTGAATGTCTCTCTCAATATTATCCTCGTTATATTGAACATAAGCCTAAAATAGAAAGATAACATATGGGTAACGCAGCTAAGAATGACAGAACATAATTTAATAGGGATTAAATATTAAATAATTAATTGAAGAGCTCAACCTCTTCTGTTTGGGAATTCACATCCAAAGAAATTGACACAAAAGGTGTAGCCATTTTGGGCATTTATAGTTAACTATATTTTGTCCAGAAGTGCTAAACATACTGCAAAAATACAGACAATCTTATATTGTGCACAGTTGCTAAGCCCAGCATTTCTGCAACAGTGAGCCACAAAGTTGCAGAAAGCCCATTACAAAACTAGGAAGAAACACAAGAACAGCTCTCCTGTAACTCAGGGAGGAGGAATATGGTCTGTCTGACCAAAAGGATGTGATATATTGCTTTATGGTTATTAAGGGTAACAGAGGAAAAATTAATTTATTACTTTACTGTCCTGTTAGTCTCGGTAACTTTGGTTTGTAAGGAAAATTATTTTCTAAAACAAGAATTAGCATTTCCAAGATTTAAATGTTACTAGAAATGGTTATCTACCTGTTTCGTGTTCATTCTACCAAAATTCCTGATATACATGTCATATTCATTTACAGGAGGCAAATCCAGTAATGTAAAACTAACTGAGAAGTCCAGATCAATTAGTTGGAGAAGTTCTGAACTTCGTTTTCTGTAAAAAGTATTAGAAAAAAGAAGTACACAAAGTAGTTAACACCAAGTATATGGTATTCTAAAAGACAGACTACCTAATATTGCACAGTACTACAGATTTAACAATACATTGACTCATACAGACTATAACTGCACCAAAATTAAATCATAGATAAATATATATTGGTAGAAATATATATAATAGTGCTGAGTTCTCATTTAATGTGACAGAGATAAACCATATAATTTTTCCATTTCAAATATGATCATTATATAGACAAGCCCAAATCTTCAGAAGCCTGAGAACACCTTGCCAAACTACTCTAAAGCTCTCCCACGAGATAACAGATGAACATTACATTCTTCCTGCACTTACGATGATTGCTAATACTCCTGAAGTCATTTTATTATACAAGTTACATTAACTATGGGTGCATTGTACTTTACAAGGATAAACTATAACAGGCTTGTTTCTGTTAGATTTATTCAAATGGGTTTTGAGCGACCTGCTAAGCTACCTTCACCGGTAATAAATTGCCTTTAGCTTATACATCTTTAGATGCAAAAGGAAAACAAACAAAATAACAGTACTGTTAAAACATATTTTAAGCATATACATGAAATTAATTTCTTGTTCACGTAGCTTTGTTTGTGAGAAAAGATGAAAGAGTTGAGGTTGGCAAAAATTAAAAGGAATGAGGTAAAGTTAGAAGCCATAAATAAGTAAGGCAGGTAAGTTATTTTCTGTCATTCCAGAAAGATTTGGCAGCTAACAGAAAAAGAGTTTCAGGTATCTCAAAGTGTGCGATGTGACCATCTTGTTTTAAACAAAATAAAAATGTGGCTGGAAAAATATATAGTATACATCTACTCTGAGAACTTATTTTCATTCAGTGTAGCTTGCGTCTACTACACCAGTAGCTGAAGTCTTCTGGACCTATCATTTGGGGAAAGAGATCACTGTTCATATCCATAGAGATCTAATTCAAACTCACAGAAGTTGCTTCCTAGCTACAAGAGCAAAATTTCCAGCTTACCGAGACATTACAACAAATTCTTAAATTAATTAGCCTCAGTATTAACAATACTGCTGATTCCAAAGTGTCACTATTCATTTACAGAATGCTTTCAGTTTATCTATCCATAGCAACATATTATTACAGCCTTAAATTTCCCTAACTCTTTCTTTTTCTACAAAAAAGGCTAGATATTTTGACAGATTTATATAGACAGAATATAAAATTATACACATAGCTACTTATCTATACACTCTATATACATTTTCATGAAAGTTATTTGAACTAGATCTGATGGCTGGACTCATTTGACTGGCCTTTAGTTTTCCAAGGCTCTGTGATAAGCAGAGTGGCACGCATTTTAGAAGCCAGTTCTTCAGAGAGATGCCTTCCTGATGTTCTTCCTCCCTACACTTTCCAGAGAGATGAACTCACATAAAATTTAGGCATTTAAACTGAGGCAAGAAGAATTACAAAGTCTAGTCAATCAAAGCTCTATGCGAGGACTATTCACCAACATATGTACAAAGCAATGGAATCTTCTCCTATCAGTAAAATTTACTATTCTTGCTTTGTGTCCAATTGATGTAACAGAAAATTGGAGATATATATTGAGACTTACATAAATTACCTAATCTACAGCTCCTGGTAAATTCCACTATACACAGGCACCAATTCGATTCTTTAATATGAAGCTGTCTAGATGTCTCAATTTTACATCAGTAATAACATGTTTTTATACCAACTGGTGCTATTCCCAAAATAGCATATTCCATTTTGGCAACAGTATGTACTGTATAGAGCCTTGATTATTTCAAGAAATTACAGTTGTGCAGAGCTCTAAGTGTAACTAAAAGGCTTGCTAGAAGGTAATATCTAATTCAGTGATTGAAGAATCATACAGAGACATGACCACATAGCTTACTCTGTCATGAACTGTTACAGATAAACTGATACAGAGACACATTTCTACTATAAAATTTTAAAAGCTGCAAGTTTATATACTTCACATATCTCAGATTTCAGGAGAAGGTATCTTACATGATGAATTGCTCTTTTGTGTATGTGACTTAAAAGACACTTACTTTTGCTTACTAACCATGCTTTGGCTAATCTGTCGCTGGTTTGCCATTCCAAAGTCCATGAATATTCCACTAAAAGAGCTTCTGGCAGGAGGATATTGCCTTTCTGTAATATTATAAAAAGTTGTGTTGTAATTCACACTTTATACCGCATTAAAAAGTAAAGCAGCAAGTATAAGAAGCAACAGATTCATTACCACACGGCTACTAAATGCTACTAGCCTGCATGGTACATAACTTGTAGCACAAGACCCATACAATAAGCTTCTTAACTTACTAATAGAATCATTAAGGTTGGAAGGGACCTTTAGAGATAAGATGATCGAGTCCAACCCCCCTGCCCAAGCAGGGTTACCTAGAGCATGTGGAACAGGGGGTTCCAAGAGGGTTTTGAAGATCTCCAGAGAAGGGGATTCTACAACTTCTCCTGGCAACCTGTTCCAGTGGCCAAGCTTTTACTCTTATTATGCTCCTATATCAGAGAGTTAGATATGAATGAGTTCTGCAATTTTTAGTTAGAAGACTTTGATCCAATTTCTTCCTCCTTAAAACCGTCAGCCCTTTTCTTCTTCTGCCATTAGTAGGTCTCTGGTTACCCTGGATGGAGTACACCACTCCACAAGCAATTTTAAATCAGAGCAAATTCACCCAGACTAAGAGCTGATGGTGCCCGCTACACCTCTGCGCAGGAACTGGTCACTACAGCTGCTGGAGAAACTTATTAACAGAAGTGAAGCTAATACCCTTGGAAGAATATGCAAAACAGAAAATTGTTGCTTTAAAAGCAACACTTTGTGGGCTGACTACAACATCCGATGTCATCTTGATTTTACACTCCGCCCTGGCTAGGCTGTAACCAACTGACTTTAGGAGCTATTTCCCAGTCAGAATTGATGGTGTTTTACTTCCTCAGAGAAAGATTGTCCTCCTTAGGTAATTCTACTTTTGAAAATCTAAAAATTATTATAAGAACAGTCAATAGCCACTTTAAACAAAATGAAAACAACTTTGTTAAAAGAGATGGTTGGGTAATTTACAATAAATAAATAAATGCTCTAACTCATAATTAAAAAAAATGCTTTTATATTAGAATTCTGTATTGTCCATTAGATTGATACCATTTATTGGACTCTGGTATTGATTCTGTATTGTCTATTAGAAAAATAAAACAAGAAATGAATAAATTTTCTGCAAGAAAAAAATCCATATTACAATATATTGTACATTTACAATATATTGATTCTCAAACAAAAGCACTTAAAAGTTCTTCTGTCCTTACTTGGGAGACAAACTTTAATAATAGTGCATTTCAAAGACTAAAAAAAGCCTCTTCAGTTCAGCACAACAACCTGAAAGCTGCAAGTCAAGTTAAACTCCAAGGACCTTGCTGGCTCAATTAGGAATCCTATGGTTTCTGTAAAGACTTGCAGAAACTCTGTTGTTTTTCCACAACTGTGCTCTACACTAGAGTGTGGAGTGCAGAGCAAAAAGCTGTATAAAATTCTACTGCAGCGTGATCCTGTACTGTCATTCACATGAGTGGATTGCGCAAATCAAGAGAGCTGCAGGCAGTTAAATTCATAGATCTGGCACACACAGAAGTCAGACCAAGTGTCTATAAAACAGCGATTTTATAGTCACTTTTCAGGAAAAAAAAGGAAAAAAAAGTAACATAACATTTTAAAATTAACATGGAACTACAAATTTAAACAGTGTCTGTACTTTTTTCACCTTCTTGACCTAAGCTGTGGCTTCAATCATACTTCAAGGAAAAAGGCCAACATGCAACACAGGAAAACCCAAACTGTTTTAGCACTCCATCTTTCAAAATCCAGATCCCCCACCTTCCTCTTACCCAAAATAAGACATTAAATGTTAATCTGTAAATTTTTATACTTCACCTTTTAAATGATTACTAATGTCTCTGAATCATTCTTTAGCTATGTGGAGGTTACAGTACTTACTCACAACTTAAAGTTGTGACTCATTCAGAATACCAGACCTTTGCCTTATGGGAGACTTTTAGAAAAAGTAGCCTGTTTACTCCTGAGTTTTAGGAGTTACTCATACATTTAATAGAAAAGGCCAGTGCCTAGTCACATACCCATGATTGGTTGTTTGTCTTCATTTTTCATTTCCTTTGGCAGAGAAGTAAAAATTCTATCATTTTCTGCATTAATTGCTTTTTGAATTTCTGCAATTTCTGATGTTTGGGAAACAGAAATCTCTCTTAGCTTTTCTTTTTCAATTATTTCTTCACTGCTATTGCCTTCGTCGTCATCATCATCACCATCAAAATCATCCTCATAATCCTTTAAGGGGAGAAGACTTTTAATAAGTAATAAACATGAATTATGTATCTTTTATTTTCCAACATGTTATCAAGATATTATAAAATTAATTTCCCATGAAATTCTTGTACAGATGGTTACCATTTCCCTGACTGAAAAGCTTTTTTTAAAAAAAAAATAAAAAAAAAACTATTTGATATAAAGGGGAAAAAAATTAATAATTTTAATCGAGAAAAGACAATCCCACAATTTTTTTACTCACTATCTCCCCAAAATCCATTAAAAAATATCCTAAAGTAGGATTTATATGTATAAAGAGAGGAAATGGTGATGGTCAGTAGAATACATATGTCAGACATATAAAAGTATTTATCTGCTAGTTTGGAGTTAAGGTGGCTTTTTACTGCAGATACAAATTTATCTAGATTCCAAACCATCTGTTTGCACAACCATGGTTAGGGATATGTTTTATAATTCCTTGGAGCATAGTTTGGACTATGCATCTCATGCTAAGGTAAAAATCTAATACAAATGATATAAGCAAGCCTTAAAAGTGCTTCTCTCCACTGAGCACAAGGGATAGCACAGTGACTAGCTAAGCTGGGAACACTGTACCTAGGAGAAGTGGAGATGAAATCTGTCTTGGTTGAAAAAAAGATCACAATGTGATTAGTTTGGGTAGCAATGAAAGCACATTTAGTGCCTTGCCATTTCATTTTAGACAAAATTCCAGGCCAATTATCAAAACACATTAAAAAACACAGGATGATACCTGATTTTTTTTTTTATTTCAGTGACTACAATGGAAATTATTTCAAAAAGACAATTTTTTGCTTATACTTACTTCAAAATCATCTTCATAATTTGTTGAAAAGTTATCAAACCCTGTATCTGAATTATAGCTGTGGGTATCTTTTATTTCCTAAGAGAGTAAAACAGATTAAGCTACTATAAAATCTCATCAAAATTAAACCTTTATCTGCCAAATATTGAAATGCATGCATTTATTACTATTTAAACAACTGTATTTCTCAGAAATATGCAAAAATAGTTTAGAATATAAGTAGATAAACATTATGTATTAACAAGTGCCAATTATCTATATAAAAGAATAATATAAGAACACAAAATAGAACTTTTTGTGGGAACACCAATTGCCTGTCCAACAGTATTTTTATTGGAAAAGAAAAAAACATTAAAAAATGCTGTGTTCCTACAATTCCAACAGTATACAGTAGTTTTCACAATGTGATAACAAGAACATAAGACTGTTCTACTTTTTAGAAGATCAAGATTTTTAGGGGATAGAGAAAGAACAATCTGAATATGAGTTGATCTAGGATGACTGTTCAGCACAGTGGTAAGAGCTGGGCAAATCAAGTCTAAGAACACACTGAAAAGCTACTTTTTTTCCAGAAACAGAAGTATTAATGCCATGCACTACAGAAGGCACTGATGACACTTCACATTCAAGACTATAATTGATTCTGGCAACATATGTCTGAGAAAAATTAAAGGAAACTGAAACAAAGGGTCAGCTGTTACAATGAGGAGAGAAATGAAGAAACTGACTTGAATAGCTCAACGAAACTAAGTCAAAAGCAGCTATATATGCTCTCTGCAAGCTCATTGGGGAGGAAAAAAAAAACTAAATGATTATTTGAGCTAAAAGGCAGCACGGAAGCAAGACTAATGAAGGCATCTTGGAAATTAGAAGCAGGTTTCTAACTCTAATCATCAAAATGTACAGATTCTAGAACAGATTTGGAAAAAAAAAGCCAGGTTTTAATAGGATTTTATATGTTTTTGAGAGATCTATAATGTACATAGCAAAAAACACTGAAAAAGATATCTTCAGTAAGCAGTTGATCAGACTACTTTCTCCCAGACCAGGCCCATAATCCTGTAATATTTCAAAATATAATTTGGATTTTGGGAAATGGTTACAAATTGTTCAAAATAAGGTAAAAATATGCAAAAGCACTTCATGGTAAAGTTGGGCTATATTTACACAAACTGGCCCAGATCAACACAGGCCAATACACTTTGTACTACAGACTGAAATGTGCTGAAAATGTGTGTTTGCATCTGTCCATTTGAACATATAAAGACACCTTCCTCTTTCTTATGGCTTTAAGAAGCATATATGAATTACATAATTAGGTGTATTTTACTTAGCTTACACTACAATTTATTTGCCTGACAGCTGTTTGTAGAAATAAATGATATATTGCAAACACATTTAGATGATTTGCTACGTATAAGTCTAGACTCTTCACACTTACTGAGAATTCTTTTTTTAAGTGAAGATGATATTGAAAGTAAATAAAGTTGAGTTTATTACATGCTTAGCAAATTTATAAATAATACATTATAATATGCAAAACTAAACAGTTTTACCACTTGTCTATTGTCCTCTTTTTCTTTTCCGTTGTTTTTTCCTTTATCTTTTACACTCCTATGAAGAAAATATAACATTTTTTAATCAAAGGAAGCATTGTGTTTAGGGGGAAATAAAGACCTATTTTTTCTCGAAAAGGAAAGAAAGAGTTGAAATGTTCCCAAATGAAATATTTTTACAAGTACATTTATTGTCTTATACAAGTCTGTTTATGATATAAAATGACAACCAACCAGCAAAGTGATTAATAAGCTGAGAATTACAAATTGTCAATACAATATCCATGCCACATCAAATCTGAAGAAATGAGAAAAAATAACTACTAATCCCACGCATTTTCTAGTTTTATTAACATCTGCAGCCAGCCAAAGACTGAGATTGGGTTGGTGTAATGGGCTCCAAAGCTGTACATGATAGACTGACTTTTAATTCTGGTTCTTCCTTCATGGGTTTTACTCATGAGGACAGTACAACCAGGCTCAGAGAGCACGGTAGAAAACCAAAAGCCAGCTCTGCCCCCTAACAACTTATTTCATTTCTTAAGCAGAGAATAAGACTTCAAGAAAAGAATGTTCTGACTTCATAAGCAAGAAAATCTTCATATATACTGCTGAGGGAACTGACAAAACAAACAAAGAACAGTAGAAGTAAAATCTGGCTGATTTCTCATGCACCTGATCAAAATAATTCAACATTAATGATAACTTGAGGCCGAAATAAGGTTTTGGGACTGACAAATCTGATGGTCAAATATTTCTGCTAAGTGATTTGGTGCTGAGTTTTCTTTATTAACAGGTGTTGTACAACATATGTTTACTTTAAATGTATGAACTTACCTTACGTGCTGATGGCTTGTCTCTCCTTCCTGCTGTTGGCTCCTCTCCTGTTTTCTGTGTTCCCTGCTCTGTAAAAGAAGCCACAACATTCCTGTATCAAAAATACTGGGAGGAAATTCCATCTATTAATTAACATTAGAATAATCTCCTACCAAAACAGCTATGGTAGGCAAAGAAAGTAAACACGAGTAACAGATATGTAACATGTAAGATGAGCTAGTCCTGAAAATATTAAATACCTGTGACTGAAGATTGGCTATGTCCCTTTCTACACTGCATTTCTCAGAGGAAAGAGAAATAATCTTGTATCTTTTCCTCTATTTAACCCTTATAATGCTCAAGAACCAGAGTGAAATCTGTCTCTTTTTGTAAAATCATGTCAGACTAGTAACACACAAGTAACAACTGCCAGAAAATACTCGAGCCCCTAAGAAATTGCTTGTCCACACTTAATACTACTAGTCCTGCATCAGAGAACAAAGGAGATCTTAACACCATGGACTGCAGCGTTCCACGCCAGATGGTCCCAGTGCCAGATAACAAGCTTCAGGCACTTTTAATTCACAAGATATGATTTGATTCAATTATAGAACACAAAGGTTTGTCTAAGTGCTCAGTTGCTGGCTCAAGATAAAATTGCTTTTCCCTATCCATGAACACCAGAAAAAGAAATGGAATTCTGCAAGAGAAGCGTCCACAAAGATGCATATATTCCAGAGCAGCTACTTCTGTAAATTTCCAAGGAATATAAACCTTAAGCAAACTGTTCTTAGTCTTTTAAATTCAGTTACAGAAAGGTAACATCTGTATGGACTTCTAGCTTAATCTCCACTTCAGAATCTAAGTAAGAAATTCAATATCATGACACAAAGAACTTAGCAAAAATACGTTTCTAACACATAGACAAGTTTCTAATTAAGACATCAAGGGTGGAATCAGCTCTGGGTTATGATACTAAAATACAGTTGTGACATTTTAATCTACCACATTAGTCTGAAATTTAATTAAAAACAATTAAAAAAACTAAAAAACCTTACAATCCTAGTATTTTGATTGTTTACCTTAATAATGTATGGATAAACATTAGTTGTTACAGTAAGTTATAAGTTATTACTTTTACATCTTAGGAGAACTAACCCCAAGATCATACTTCTTTCTTTCACTTTCTTCACTTCTTACTTTTTCATTTGTTTCTGCTGGTTGTCTTTCCCTGTCTCCACGGGAAGATCCTTCTTTAGATCTCTTTGATTTATGTTTTTCATCTTCATTTTCAAACAGTTTATGACTTCTCTCTTTTAAAAGACTCTCTTTTCCTGGCCGAAGAGAATGTTCTTTTTTTCCTCTGTGTCTCTTTCCTGTCTCTTTATCTGTCCCTTCATCTTTCTGTAACTTGTGTCCATGTTCACTCGCTTCAGCTTTGTGTAGTAAATATTTGCCAGTGCTATTTTTGGTATCATCACCCTGAAGAAGGGGGAAAAAAAATTCTCAAAATCCATTTTATCTTGGAAATTCATCATTCCAATGGTCAAAAAATTGATAGGTATCTTAGGTTCCTAAACTATCTAGCAGCAAGATCTTCCATTCCAATTTTTAATCACATATGATGACTCAGCATGTTTCAAATTACCACAACACTTGGAATTATGATAGATGTCTGGGACACCACATATTTTACTAGAGAAAATTGTTTGAATTTGGTATTCTTCAAGCAATTTTAATTATTTACTGGGTACTCTATCACAAAACAGGATGCATACTTACAACTACCTTTCTAATCAAGACATTTGCTGTACAAAGCAATCTTGAATGAACATGAATGAAGCATCTCCTTGAGACAGAATGATAGAATAGTTCAAATATATCTTGCTGTCATGTGTCCCATACACTGGTAAGAAATTTAGCCTAAGCATATTTTGGATTGCTTGGGAACTGAAGCCTGATTGAATTTCTCCATTATTTTACCATTTTAATTTTCCCTTATGAGCCATTTAATTCCTTTTTCTTCTTTTACCTTCCTTCCTGCATGTCTTCTTTCTTGACCGTCACCTCTTGTTCTCTCTTCTTCTAGAAAATATATGTATAAATTAATAACAGCTTATATTACAATCAAACTCTGTACATAATCAACAGCATGTAGAAAGTAACACTTCAGTGACATAGACTTTTTTCATAAGAATTCTGTCTTGAATCTTATTTAATAAAATATTTACGAACATTATACAATTTATCATTTTTCTATGGTCTGGATTTATTGAAAATAATTAACAAAATATCGTAAGATTCAGTGAAAATAAACTTCCAAAACTGATTATTCCTGTTTCTTTCCTGACTATCTCTGCTCTTGATTGCTTTATGTAATGATAAGGGTAGTGATACATGCTATTAACTTCAGTAATCACCCTGCAACTTTGTTTGCAATTCATACAGATCCCTCAGTAGAAAATATCTCCGCAGGAAGATAATCACAGAAACACAGAATGCTTGAGGCTGGAAGGGAACTCTACAGATCATCTAGTCTAATCCCCCTGCTCCAGCAGGGGCACATGGCACAGGGTGGTATCCAGGTGGGTTTGAAGATCTCCAGAGAAGGAGACTCCACAGCCTCTCTGGGCAGCCTGTGCCAGGGCTCTGTCACCCTCACGGGAAAGAAGTTCTTCCTCACATGGAGATTAAAATGCCTCTTCTGTTCACAGCTAAAGCCCCTTCAGCTTAACAGAAGACAGATCATCTCTTTGAAGAGAG